GGGGGGGGGGGGGGCGAGGAGAAGTGGCGGGAGGGGTTCAACAGGACGAGGGGGAGGGGGAGGGTGGCTCCTGGCGGTTCCGCGGCGGGCATGCCGAATCTTGCCATGGGCATTACAGCCTTCCAACAGGCGGCCGGCGCCGGAACCACCAGCGGGGAAGGGCAGGGGGGAGGGCCGGACCCTGGTGTTTCCGCGGCGGCCATGCCGAGTCTCGCCATGGACGTTCCGGCCTTCCCACTGGCGGCCGGCGCCGGCGCCACCCGCGGGGAGGGAGGGGGGGGGGGGCCGGCCCCTGGTGTTTCCGCGGCGGCCATGCCGAGTCTCGCCATGGACGTTCCGGCCTTCCCACTGGCGGCCGGCGCCGGCGCCACCCGCGGGGAGGGAGGGGGGGGAGGGCCGGGCGTTGGTATGCCAACGGCGAGGATGCTTAACGCTGGCGTGGATCTTTCGGCCCGCCGGGCTGGCGTCACCGGCGCTGCTGTGGGTTTCGGCCCAGCACCCACGAACGGGACACACACGTTGGGGGGCTCGGGCGCACCGCTTTGCTCCCGGAGCAACGCACCTCGAGGTGGGGTGGGTCAAGCTTCGCTCGGTTTCGCATCCTCGGCTTTCGACGCGACAAATTCCTGCGCGCCGGAGAGTTTCCAGCAATCAAGACTGAATGGAGAAAGACTTCGGGCCGGCGAAAACCACGGCCAGCCTCTGCCTTCGACGCCCCGAGATGTAGCATTTTTGGACCAGGAGCATTGGCCCCCCAAAACGAGGCAGGCAGGATCGAGCAAGAGGAACACGTGGACGGCCAAGAGAGATGAGCGTGGTGGAGGGCAGCATGCAATTCAGGGAGGAGCCCAAGGGTCCTGGGGGAGCTCCAATAGAGTTTTGTAGAAGATTGTCGTTTCGCTCGCGTCGGATATTTTTGGGGCTGGTATGGAGAAGCGTGCAGGCCCGTGGCGAACATCTGTTATGGGAAGATGACGCTCGTTCGGAAATTTGAAACCCAACAGCGGCGGCATGTTTGAAAGGGAGCAAGGGTGAGAGCGAATCAAGCTCGGAGGTTAGCGGGGCGACATGAGGGAGACTGTAAGCGTCGGATTAGCCCTTTTCTTCAGGTGCCGCACTCAGTTGGTTTTTGTCCGTGAGCGTGCGTTGAAGGTCAAAGACTGTTTCGTGCCGGTCTTGTTGCGGCTTCGTGGATAACAGGAACTGGGTGACAGGGACTGACACCGTCTTGTGCGGCCATGCTTTTTTATATTTTATCCTGCACTTCCTTCGCGTCACGGTGCTCTGATAAGTAGTGGCGGTTTCAATTGTGGTGTTTCTTTCGAAATGTGACTGCTGTACCGGGGTGCCACCCGTTCAACGTTTGAATATAATACAAGTATCTTTCCTTGATTCCCTGTTTGTTTTCAAATACTTCGTCGACGATCGGACCCCCGACCGAATCAGTGTCCATAGAACGTTTTGTAGCTTATTTCATAACGAAAACTTCCGCCCAAACAGACACAGCGTGCTGCAGCATGACCACATAACCACGGAGGAGGCAAGGCCTTCTTTTGTTTCACAACGTCAGTGCCGAACCAACTGCACGCTTTGAGCAACACACATCGGTTGTAGCAGCCCTCGCACGCACGCCACGGGCTTCCAACGCAGCTATCCCCTTGCTCTTGAACAGCACATCCTTTCATATACTCTGTGGGGAGCCTTTTTCTGTGCTGTCGGCATGCTGTGTGCGTGCCTACGCGCGTGCGTGCAGTTGTCTGCTGCGCGGCTGCGCGGGCGGGGGACTTTCCAATTTGTGGTTCTGTAAAGAGAGGTTCCGAAGGCTTTTTGAGGGCAGGCGGGTCGGCTCCTGCCCTCAAGGGCAGGTTCCGGGCGCTCCTGCCCTAAGGGCAGATTTCCGGGCGCCGGACTGCCTCTCTCTGGCTCGTTCCGTCCCGCGTTGCCAAACCCGTCGTCGCTGAGCCTCTGTGACCTCTGCCCCCTGCTCTCTGCTCTGCCCCATCCCCTTGACTTTGCCGGTGTTCGAAAGCACCTCCCTACCGCACGGGCCGTGCGCGATGGATGGCGCGGTTTCAGACGAGTTCAGCTTGGAGCCTCGGGCGGACCAGGAGGGCGGAGACAGAGACAGCAGCAGCCACGAGGACGAGCTCGCACTCCGGGCGGCGCTGCACTACAGCGTGGGCGAGGTCTGCAGCGGCGAGAACGGGAAGATCGCGGTGACAGGCAGCGCGGTGTCTACCTTGGCGGAGGTATGGCCCGCGTAGATGCGAATGATTGACTCCTGTTTTCAAAATTTCAAATTTTACTTATGATGGAAGACACCACCACCCACCTGGTGCACACATGGTATTTCCTCTCCGGTAAAGGGGGCTCCTCTCGCACAAACAACATCACACGAAAACGCGGACAATTTCTGCTACTCAAGGCTGGAATATATCTAGATGGTCCCAAATCTCTGATTGTGCTTTCACGTACTGTGCACACTGTACTCATCATTTTTTCACCTATTCCTCTAGGTAAGCTCCTTTTGACCTTACCTTGGTGCCGACCGCTGCCTCAAGAGTCAGAACGGCTTTCATGAATACCAACTGAAAGGGGATCGGCCACGTGTTGCGGCACACCACGGCAACACTGTTCGTACAATAGCCGTCGCGATCGAGCGTCGCACACGTCCTTGTTGCGGTATTTGGAGGTAGACATGTGATCATTCTTGACCATGGTTATTTGGCGTTATCAGATGCTACGACGTGGACGTCATGCAAGATTCGGGCGTTTTGCCGAGGCAATGTACCTTACTGTTCAGTGTCCGCTTGGGATCTGCGTGCGTCGGCTTGAGTTGCGTTGGAAGGCAACGGGAAAGCATTAATCAAGAGGAGAGAACGAATGATTGCACATCTGTGGTCGGACAAGAGGGGTCACACAGCCCAAAAGTGATCGATTCGTAAGGATGGGGTCAAATCTCCTTACAACCCCGCACTCGGTCCATCAAAGGGTATTTGTTGGGCGTCTCTTCTGCGGATGACGATGCATTTGGTTATCCTCTTTCTCTTCTCGCACCCTTTTGCGATGCATACTCACCTCATTTGGAAAAGCACACATCGGAGGGATCTTCAACAGCGAAGTTTTTTATGCAATCAAAAGGAGTGTTGGACACGGTCTCAACCGCCACAATCTCCGCGTATCGCTTGGCTACTGCTGTTGCCGTGAATGCGCTACGTGTTTAACCGTGCCATGCGCCTTCAGTTTTCTTGATTCGACCCCTGTCGATCTACAACTCCTGTGGTATGTGCAAATCGCAAACCCCAAAAGCACACGACGATGACGACGACAACAGCAACACCACCAACAGCAACAACAACAACAACAACAACAACAACAACAACAACAACAACAACAACAACAACAACAACAACAACAACAACAACAACAACAACAACAACAACAACAACAACAACAACAACAACAACAACAACAACAACAACATCTAACACCACCACCACTAACAATAACAACAACAACAACAGCAACAACAACAGCAATAACAACAACAACAACACCGACAACAACCATAACGCCCGTTGAGCAGGTGGTCTTCAAGTTCTCCGAGTCCCTGGCTCTGGACCTGCGCGTGTTCGCCAAGCACGGCAAGAGAGCCGTCGTCGGCGTCGATGACGTCAAGTGCGCCGCAAGGAAGGACCCGAAGCTCGTGCGTTTGACTTGAGGCGAAAGCGCAGCGCCGTGCGTATGCGGAGTCCTACCGTCTGTGTGTTGTTGCTACGAAGTATTTTTTAGAAAGGTTCACCAGTATACCGATTTTGTGTCAAGCGCCCCGCGAGATGACCCAGGGTTTCATGTTGGTACGTTTCTCGCTGGCGATGGTGGCGTAAGTCTAGTTGTGACCTGCTTTACCACCACCCCTCAAGATGTGGGGTGATAGCGACCCTGTTATGCGACCGCGCAACCTGTTGTCGAGTGCCGCGAGGCGGGCTTGTTGCTACGCGCCAGGATCGTTCTTCCTTGAAAATATCAAAGCCTGCACCATGACCTTAGACACCGGGAAAGCTTTGCACCTTTGTATTGCCGCGAAGGCATGATGTAAGCATGTCACACGGATGACGGTTTGGCTCTACTGCTTTGTTTCTTGTCCGCCAAGAACGACGATAGAAAAACTGTTTCATTTCGCAGTTGTCTCCTGACGTGCTCCTGTTGGTTCTCCTCGAGTGCAACGGACTACTTGTCTCCATCTTTGACGAGGGCTTAACACCTTTCTGGTCCTCCTGCCGACCGCACAGCGAGACCTTTCCCCGCGACTCACTTGGCTCGATCACACCTCCTGTCGGCGACAAAGTTGCTGGCGCAGACGAGGGCTCGTTCCCTCTGACAAGCATACACGTTATCTCTGTGCGCCTCTCTTTGCCTCTCTCTCTGTCTCTCTCTCTCTCTCTCTCTCTCTCTCTCTCTCTCTCTCTC